ATTTATTATATTCCACAAATGATATTTATCATGTGATATTTATCTTTCTCTGACTGGCTTATTTCACTTAGCACAATGCTCTCCAGGTCCATCCATGCTGTTGCAAATGGTAAGAGGTCTTTCTTTTTTATAGCAGCATATTATTCCACTCATCTGCTGATGGACACTTAGGCTGTTTTCAAATCTTAGCTATTGTAAATTGTGCTGCTATGAACATAGGGGTGCATATATTCTTTCTGCTTGGTGTTTCTGATTTCTTGGGATATATTCCTAGAAGTGGTGTTACTGGGTCAAATGGGAGTTCCATTTTTAGTTTTTTGAGGAAACTTCATACTGATCTCCACAGTGGCTGCACCAGTCTGCATTCCCACCAGCAGGTATGATGTGGTGGGCTGGCACGGCCATAGCATACTCAGCCCTACATTGGGCGTCTTATGTGCTTGCACCAGCTCAGCCAGGTTCAACTGGGGGCAGTGAAGGGTTGAGAAAAGACAGAGAAGATAATGAAAGCTGGGTCTCAGCAGGATGCTGCCATCTCTGATGGAGAGAGACAGCGCCCCAAACTATAAGCCATGTCTTTATTTTATAGCCAGATTCCATGAAGCAAAGTAAGGCGTGGTTAGGATGTTTACAACATTCTCCTGAGTTTCAATTCTAATCAATTACATGCATCTGAACTCTATCAAGCTCATATAACTCAGCTCACATGGGCCACGTGTTTGGACCATAGGTTCAAGCTTACAACTATAGCTGTTGGCTATAATAATTGTGCTGGGAGGGCTCTGCCCTCCAAGCTGGGACTTGCACGTGGCCATGAGAGGACCGTGCCCTCTCGTTAGTCCGAGGCTTGAACCTGTGCAAACACTGTAGCCGCTCCCCACAGTATGAGATGGTACCTCATTGTCATTTTGATTTGCATCTCTCAGATGATCAGTGTCTTTTAGCATGTTTTCATATGGAGAGAAATATTGATCTGCTGCTTTCTGCATGCCCCCTACTAGGGATTGAGCCCACATCCTGGGCATGTGCCCTGACCAGGAACCGAACTGGTAACCTTTTGGTGCAGGGGCTGACAGCCAACCAATTGAACCACACTGGCCAGGGCAGGTTCCCTTTTTGCAATGTGGCATATTCTTCATTTCAGAAACAGATCTTTCCCCCCAGTTCCCCACCCTACCAAGTTGTGTGGGAATGGGCAGGGGTCAGGAGGCTTTAAATAACCAATGTAGGGTATGCCTATCTAAAATGGGATATATAGATATAGATATAGATATAGATATAGATATAGATATATTAGAGACTAGAAGGAAATAAGCCAAACTGATGTTAACAGTGGTTGACCCTAAAGGATGGAATTATAGGTGTGTTTTTTTTCCTACTGCATCTTTATCACTTTTTAAAATCTTACCGGTTTCTGAGTGACCTTTATAATAAAGACACATATTTAATGAGTATGTATATGATAGCACCCACTCCCACACATACTCCCACGTTTGTCTTTCCACAGCACAGGCTTTCTGCAAGAAGATGCTGTGCAGCTCCGGCCTAGACAGTTCTTCCTAAAGCACACGTACAGGGCATTTGGCTTCGCTGCCCCTCGCCCGCCTAAGTGCCAGCAGCACTCCCAGTGTCAACCAGGAACGCCTCCACGTTATGCAGAAAAATGCTCTTATTTTTCAGAAATGCATTTGGGGTGAAATGTCAGGATGTGTGTAATTTATTTTAAACTACTTCAGGAAAAAAAAAATAGATGAAACAACTGCAAAACATAACAACCGAGAGATTTAGGTGGTGGATGTATGTGCTCAATTATTCTTCTTACTTTTTTGTTTGAAAATGTTCATAATAAAAAAGTGGGAGGAAATGCCCCATTATTTCCCAATGCTCACTTTTAGGCTATTGTCCTTCATGAAAAACTACATCTTCATTCTGTAGCAGCTTTATTTTCATAAGTGTTGTGTCTGATTATCAATTTAAATCCCCTACAGGGACTGCTTTTTTTTTCTTTTTCTTTTTTTCTTTTTTTTTTCTTTTTTTTTTTTGTAATGTTTGCTCCTTGGCATTCTTCTCCAGAAGAATCTGGATGTAGGGGAAATGTTCTCGTGACAGTGAGAAGAAATGGCCTTCCTACTTTGGGTCCTTGCTGGTGTCACAGGGTGTCCCTTGCCCTGCCTGGTCAGTGGCATCTATATGGCATGAGTCCCTAAAGTCCGAGGCCACTGACACTCGTGATCTGTTCTCTGGCCGGCACTGACTCAATGCCAACACCTCGCTCCTGGCACCTGAGCCCCTCTGAATCTCAGCTGCATCCTCCATCCAGCCTGCTCAGGTGGGTACCTACTGCTCCTCAGCTCACTGTCTCCCATACAGCCCAGCAGTCTCCCTGATTCCTTGCTAAGTGCACATAGGGACTCCTGCATTTTTCCCAGTCTCAGATGAACATAACACAGGTGACAACACTGGGATGGGATAAGATGCCGTAATGGGGGGAGCCCAAGCATCCACCCATACCTTACAAGGACAGGACATGTTACAGATGTCAGGCACACTCTCCTTCCAACAACAAACCCTTTCCGCATGCCTCCTCTGGACCAGGCACTGTGCTCAGGGTCTGGGCCTGCCGTCCCACTACGCACACGCCACATGCTGATATGTGAGAGGGTGAACACATCACAAGAATATCAAGCAGATGTTAAAAAAAATAGAATAAATCGAGAAGTTCTGATAAGGAAAGATATCTAAGATACGTTGTTAAATAAAAAGACAAGTTTCAATATAATAGGTGGGAATAGAGTATGATCCCTTTTCTATGGGGGAAAAAAAGTGTAATATGAGAATTGAAAGCCACAGACTCTTTTATATGCATTAAATAATACTGGCGCCAAGTAATAATTTACCTGCTGGCTCTGGGAAATGCCTGCTGTTAAGATAAGATGGAACCAGTGACACTCTTTACTTATTAAAACAGAAAACTTGCCAAAACCGGTTTGGCTCCGTGGATAGAGTGTCGGCCTGCAGACTGAAAGGTCCTGGGTTCGATTCCAGTCAAGGGCATGTACCTTGGTTGCGGGCACATCCCCAGTAGGGGGTGTGCAAGAGGCAGCTGATCGATGTTTCTCTCTCATCGATGTTTCTAACTCTCTATCCCTTTCTCTTTCTCTCTGTAAAAAATCAATAAAATATATTTTTTTTAAAACAAAAAAACTGAAAATTTGCTCATCTTGACTCACGTCAAGGCCCTTGCCCTTCCAGACCCACCAATCCAAAGCTCTTAGGTCATAAATCCTGCCCAGTCCCACCCAGTAACCTGCCTTATATCACCCACCTTAGAACCAGCCTTGAAACACCATAGCCTTTCTTGATGACGTGTCTTCCCTTGGAGAAACTACTAGGACTTTGCCGGTGCTGTTCTCCCTTTCTGAAATAAGCTTAGCTTTGCTCAATTGGTATGTTTCCTGCTTGCTTTTCAGGGCAGGGGTGGGAACATCTGGCCCCAGGCAGTAGAAGGCCCGCGAAATCACTTGGTCTGGCCCTGCCAAGGCATTAGGGGTGAGTTAATTAAACGAATGACCAAATATAGCAAGCTAATTTTTAGGTTGATAATTTAGTATGGCCCTCGAATTATGTTAGACTAGTAAATATCCAAAATGACCCTTGGCAAAAAAAAAAAAAAGTTTCCCCATCTCTATTTTAGGGAATCAATGATCAATAACAATAATTTAATACCTGCTGGGCACTGAGCTGATTGCTTTATACCCTGATCCTACTCTCTGAGAGGTTTCTTTTCTCTCTGAGAGTTTTAATGTCATTATTCCCATTTTACAGATGTAGACACTGAGGATTAGAATGTGAACAACTTGCTCGTCTATACAGTAAAACCTGAAATATTACACCGGGAGTAAGAGGCAGAGACTACATTCAAACCCAAGAAGTAGGACACCAGAACTTGAGGATTTAACTCCCTAGTACTGCCTCTGTTCTAGTTATTATGGCTATATAACAAGTTTTTCAAAATCCCAGTGGCTTTAATAAAATAAAATAAAAAACATTTATTTTGATCATGAATCTTTTATTCAGGCTGGGCTTGGTGAGGATAACTGTCTGCTCCAGCTGAGGTCCCTCGGATGCCGGAAGCTGGCATCCCTGGAAGTTCATTTTTTCGCTTCTCCGGCAGCTGACACTGTCAGCGAGGACCTCAGCTGGGCAATCAGCCGGAGCACTTGCACGCAGCCTCTTCATGTGACCGGGGTTCCCTTATAACGTGTTCACTGGGCTCCCAGGGTGAGCATCCCAAGAAGAGAGACCTCTGGGCAAAGCCATGTTGCCTTCTATGACCTAGTTTTGAAGTCGTGCAGCATCCCTTTGCCACATTCTCCCTGTCAAAGCAATCACAAGCCCTCCTCCGGTACAAGGGTAGGATAAATAGATTCACCTCATGTTGGGGCATGGCAAGGTCAAGAAGACTCTCTGGGAGACCAGAGATAGTGCTGTGGTCATATCTGGAATTGCATTCTCCCACAGACCCACATATTCAGCGTGCTTGTCTATACAGTAAAACCTGAAATATTACACAACAGGTAGTTAGCTGTGGGTATTTCTGGGGCTAATAATAGGGCCTTTTATTTTCTATGATGTTTGGGTTTTTGTAACAAATGTTTAAAACACTATGGCAACTTTATTTTATTTTATTTTTTAAAGATTTAGCCTCCATTCTAAAGAAGCTTATGCTGAAGGTGAGTGTGCTGTTACCTATTTCTTCTCCTATATTCATTTTCTGCTTCTTTTAAAAAAAATATATTTTATTGATTTTTTACAGAGAGGAAGAGAGAGTGATAGAGAGTTAGAAAAATTGATGAGAGAGAATCATTCATCAGCTGCCTCCTGCACACCCCCCACCAGGGATATGCCCGCAACCAAGGTATATGCCCTTGACTGGAATAGAACCCGGGACCTTTCAGTCTGCAGGCTGACGCTCTATCCACTGAGCCAAACCGGTTTCAGCTCATTTTCCGCTTCTTGCTGCTCTGCTTTGTTCCCTGGAAGTTGACCTCTACAAACTGTATCACCTGGACTCCTGCCCTCTGACTTCTGTTTGGGCTGATCCAATGAGAGCTGAAGTAAATCAGAGAGTGAGAAAAGAGAGAGGGTAAGGTGTGTATTCTCCCCTCCTCACCTGCCCATGGGTCTCCCTGGGTTCCGCAACATTTCCTTCATCTCTATCCTTCAGACTCAAGAGTGGTATCAATGCCTCTGTGGTTATTCCCCGGGGTGCCTCATCATCCCCGAGGGGTTCCCTTAATCCTGTCTATTCCTCTGTTATTGTCTCTTCGTTATACTTTCTTTAATTAAGCCCTTGAAGTGTGCCCTCTGTTCTCTACCAAGTCCCTGGCTGATCCAGTAAGGCACGGATGGAGACAGACATGCAAACAATGACATTACAGTGTGCTGGTTGCTTTGAGGGGCATATATAGACAAGGAATAGCTAGGTTTTGTGTGTGTGTAGTTTTTACACAGAGGAAGGGAGAGGAAGAGAAAACTAGAAACATCAATGATGACAGAGCATCATTGATCAGCTGCCTCCTGCACACCCCACATTGGGGACTGAGCCCGCAACCGAGGCATGTGCCCTGATTGTGACCTCCTGATTCATAGGTCAACGCTCAATTGAGCCACGCCAGCCGGGCGCTAGGTGTTTTTTGTTTTTTGGGTTTTTTTTTTAAAGAGTCAGGGAAGACTTCCCAAAGAAAGTGCAACTTAAATTGGACAAGTAAGATGAGTCAGCATTCTCCAGTTTGTGAAAAAGAGAACAAGTTTCTAACCCTGTGAGGTTTCCATGGATAAGAAAATGGGCCCAGAGAGGTTAGGTGATTACCCATGGCCACACTGGGAGTAGCATAGACTCAAGCCTTCTGCTTAATCCATCACACTACAAGGAAAGCTTGTCAGTTCAGATGTTTTTGGCTGCAAGTAACCAGGGGGGAAAAAGTTTAAGCAATAAAGAAAATGTACTATATGATGATTGTATGTAATGTTGTAATTTAATATCAAGAAGACCAAGGTCAGGCAACTCCAGGGTTGATTAAATTAAATCAGATACTCAGCAAAGTCATCAAGAAGAAGATCTAAATAAATGGAGAACTAAACTATGAATTGAAAGACTTAGTATTATTGTCAGTCCTCCTCAAATTGACTTAAAGATTTAATGCAATTGCAATCAAATTCTTACAAGGTTTATGTGTGGAAATTATCTAACTAATTCTAAAATTTACTTGGAAATACAAAAAGCTTAGAGCAGCCTAGACAATCTTGAAGAAGAACACACACTACCAAATGCCAGTGTTTAATGTAAAACTATAATAATTAAACTAAGGTACTATTGATACAAGGCTAGACAAAGACCAATGAAACAGAAATTGATCCAAACATGTAAGTTCATTTGATTCACAAAAAGGATGCTACTGAAATTCAGTTGTGCTAAAGAAATTGAATATCCATATAGAGGATAATCTGTATGGGGAAAGATGAATTTTTTTACCTCACACCATACATAAAAATTCATATTACATTATATGAATTATACTAGTAAGTAGACCTAATGCAAAAGTTAAAAAGAATTAGTCTATTAAAAAACATAGAAAAGTATCTTCATGAACTTGGGGGTAAGAAAATATCTCAAATTGAGTGCAAAAAACACTAGACTAAAAGAATTGATAATTTGGACTTTCTTAAATATAAGAACTAGGCTCCTCCAAAGACATTACTAAGCAAATGAAGAAGCAATCTTCAGACTGGGAGGGATATTTGCATTTCATGCACCTGACAATGGACTTGTATCCAGAACATAAAGGAACTCCTACAAGTCAATAAGTAAAAGATAAAATAATCCATGTTTAAAAAGGAAAAAAAGACTTGAACAGGCACTCTTAGACGAGGCAATGACCAAAAATCACTTGAAAAGGTTATCTGAAGAAAGAAAACTAAAACTACTATAAGATACCACTACTTCTGGAAATCTATCCAAAGCTCCAAACACTAATTCAAAAGAATATATGCACCCCTATGCTCATAGTGGTATAATTTACAACTAGTGGCCCGGGGCATGGATTCACGCCCATTAAAAGAAAATTAATTAGAAGCAATATTTTAACATGGCTATTTGCCCTTTTTCTGTAATAGAAGTGTCAGATATAAAAGAAAATCAGTAAAATGTATATGAAAATAATATATAAATTGACTAATAAACAATAACAAAATGATATAATAACAACAAAGACATGACATAAAAAACAAAAAACTATATGAAAACAACAAAAACATGATATAAAAACAACAGTAATGCAAACAATGACTGATAAAGTGATTAAATTTATTCTAATATCTCCCCATATACCACATTAAGAGAACACTTTCAGAGTGCTTGACTAATTTCCCTTGTGAGAAAGTATTTACAACTTTAACTTAACGTCACGTGCTCTTCAAACTTGAGAGAAAGCAGCATACAACTGACCATGTGCAAAAAATGGGTTCAGGTAGGAATATTCCTACTCTGGCAAGAGCTTGTCCTTGTGATTTATTAATAGTCATCCAAAATGCTGGCATCACGGGAAACTGTCTTTGAATTAATTTAAATGGGAGGCCAGTGTCAGATGGGAACAAATCAAATCCTGGAATCAGAACAACCTCTCCTTCCGCAGATCCTGTTAATACTTCAGCTTTGATTATGTTAGGTCCCAATCTTTCATAATAAAGCTAGTACCATTACAAACACCCCATTTACTATTAAGATTTCTCAGTAGCATGATGATTGCACCTAATTTCAATTTTAATTTATGACACAGCATTCCTGAAGGAGTAATACTATTAAGAAATTCCATGGGAAAATTTGCCTTTTTGGCATCATCCATTGAATGGGTGTGAAAATCTCTGCTTTCTTTCAGCTTCAGAATGTCAACAAAAACAACCAAATTCCCAATCAATGACAGATAGAAACACACGTGTGTGATTGGCGCCAGCAAGAGCTTTATATGTACCATGCATTCGAAAGTGAACGTTTATTTTTAAACTGGAGGCCCAGTGCACAAAATTTGTGCATAGGGGTGAGGGGTCTTTTAGCCCAGCCTACACCCTCTCCAATCTGGGACCTCTCAGGAGATGTCCAATTGCCTCTTGCAATCCAGGACCACTGGCCATAACCACTCTCCTGCCTGCTGCCTGATTGCCCCTAACCGCTCCCCTGCTGGATTTATTGTCTCTAACCTTTTCTGCCTCACCCCTCACCCAGAACCCAGGATTCCCTCTTCCAGCTGGCCACGGGCACCCAGGACCCGGGCCACAGCTCCAGCCACTGGCGCTCAGGACCATGGGCAGCAGCTTATCCCTCTCCTGAGCCACAGGTGCAGGTGGTGAGTGGCTTGTCCCTCTCCCGGGCTGCAGCCTGGCTAGCCCTGATTCCTCTCTCTCAAGCTCATTTATGCCTGGCTATTCCCCATTCCTCTCTCATTGTTGAGTGTTTGAGCCGTTAGAGCACATGTGTCAAACACAAGGCCCACGGGCCAAATCCGTCCTGCCAGGCCTTGCAATGTGGCCCGCACCGCGCTGTCATCACTGCACTCCGCTGCGTTTCCATCACAATGACAGTTTATGACTGTTCAGTAAACCATTCGGCCCGCGATTTAGGCTGGATTTTAGATTTTGGCCCCTTCTCTGATTGAGTTCGACACCCCTACGTTAGAGCATGAGGGTGTGACAATCATTTGCGTATTAGCCTTATATTATATAGGATTGCAAATGAGCGTCATATGTATTGGCCAGCTGGCTGATCAGATGGTCAGACGGACGGTTGGTTGTACATACAGTCTCACTTAGCCTTTTACCCATGCCAGCGAGAGCTTTATATGATCACACCTGCAGGAGTCAACATTTATTTTTAAATTGCCAGTGTGTGTCATATGTACCAGCCAGTCAGTCACTTAGCCTTTTTTATATATAAATAGCCCATTTTTGGAAATAGCTCCAGTATCCATCAATAGATGAGAGGATAGAAAAGATGTGGTACATTTGCACAATGGAATATGACTAGGCTGTAAAAAAAAAAAAAAAAAAAAGAAGAAGGAAATCTTACCTTTTTGACAGCATTCAGGGGTCCTCAAACTTTTTAAAGTGGGGGCCAGATCACGGTCCCTCAGAGAGCTGGAGGGCCGGACTATATGAACTACTAATTCCTACTGTAACACCTCGGCTGCGCTCACTGCCCAAAAAACCTGGCGGGCCGGATCAGACTCCTCTGCGGGCCGCATGTGGCCCATGGGCCGTAGTTTGAAGACGCCTGTCGGACCTAGAGAGTATTGTGCTAAGCAAAATAAGCCAGTCAGAGAAAGATAAATTCTATATGATTTCACTTACATATGGGATCTAACGAACAAAATAAACTAACAAACAAAATAGAAGCAGACTCATAGATACAGAGAACAGACTGGCAGCTGTCAGAGGGAGGAGGTTGTGGGGCTGGATGAAAACATAAAAGGATTAAAGGGTGGAAGGGGGAAAGAAAAGGAAAGGAAAGGAAAGGAAAGGAAAGGAAAGGAAAGGAAAGGAAAGGAAGGAAGGAAGGGAAGGGAAGGGAAGGGAAGGGAAGGGAAGGGAAGGGAAGGGAAGGGAAGGGAAGGGAAGGGAAGGGAAGGGAAGGAAGAGAGAGAAGAGAAGAGAAGAGAAGAGAAGAGAAGAGAAGAGAAGAGAAGAGAAGAGAAGAAAAGAGAAGAAAAAAAAGGAAAGAAAAGGAAAGAAAAGGAAAGAAAAGGAAAGAAAAGGAAAGAAAAGAAAGGAAAAGAGAAAAACAACTCAAGGAGGGGAAATCTGATGAAATTCCGGTACAGCTTCCCTCAAAGAGGAACATGCTTAAGGCATTTCTGTGGGAAGCCACCCATTGTCTTCACTAGCAAAGAGGAGTGGACAAGGAACTTGGAAGGCTGGTGACCTCTGGCAAAGATCAGGGCTGTACACCCACTGTTCAGTCCAGACAATGGTAGCTGAAGCAACTTCCCTACCAGACGGTCATGTACATCCTTACTGATAAGATAGTCTGCCTGTTACTGGAAATTGCGTGGTTAAGGGCTATAGATGGATTCCAGATTGAATAAAAGGATGGCAAGACTGGTGCCCAGGTGGAGTCCTTCTTGAGCTGGGCTCCTGACTGGTCCCTCAATATTTCCAATTATTTCTTGTCTTGTCTCTTTCATTTGCATGTGGCCCCTCTTCCAGAACCTGAACCCTGAACCACATGGGATGTGGGACCTTCACACCTTTCTGCCTCTATACAGCACAGCAGCATGCGTGTTTATAACGTGCCTTTCAACTTAGTGGTGTGTGTGTGTGTGTGTGTGTGTGTGTGTGTTGTTTTGTTTTTTACTTCTATCGCAATCATACATTTATTGCTGGTTTGCTCCCAGCCCTCCATATGGTTGCTGAGGGAGATCATCTGTGCGGGGAGGACTCAGAACTGATGAGGCAGTTGAGGGGCTCCATCTGGGAACCTAAAAAGCACCTACACTCCACAGACTGGGGGTGCTGGGGAGCAGAAGTAGGAAATACTAGAAAAGGGAAGGAGGGGTCCAGGGGCTGTGCCAAATGTGGTCAGGGTCGAGCTGGAGGGGGGAGGTGGCAAAGATCAGCAGGTGGACGAAACCTAGGCTCTGGGGGAGGGGAAAGGTGGAATTGGGCCTGGAGACTAGTGGAGATAGGGATTGGTGTTAGGGCAGTAGGATCCCCTCCCAGACCTGGCATATTCCACTAATAGCGCTAATTGGGCCCTACAATTTCATTAAGATGTGCTTAATGAAAATGCCAAAAGAAGCCTCTTTCCATTCTATTAAATAGGGAGTATTATGTACACATTAGCTCAAAACCCTAAGCCAATTTCCTGACATTTTACTCAAACTCGGTACAATGTGTGTATGTGTATGCTTTTCAAAGGTATCACGTATGCGGTGTAGGATGCTTAGCATTACTTCCACATCATCAGCGGTTAAATTGGTTGTTAAATATTTGCTTATTGGCCTCCCTTGCTGCTGGCAACAGCGAGGTGCACAGCCCTTTGCTAGCACATTTGACTTTTCATTTGTTGCATCCAGTTATATTGATCAGGATATGGAATATTTTTATCATTTGCTTTGAAGAAGGGAAAATAAAAACAACAGCTGTATCAGGAGAGCGTTTGGAAGCATATGGCAGAAGACATGGGAAAAGAGATGTAAACCGTAAAAGGCTTATACGGTATGTCTCATGTAACAAGGCGTCCTGGGCATGCCTCCTCTTGCCTCCTCTCCTCTCCGCCAGAGCGCAGAGACTTTCATCTTCGGCTTCTGTAGCCTCGTAGTTGCGTGACGTTTGCTGCACCTCCAGGAGAGACATCAATATTCCAAGCAGGAAGGGGCAGAAAAGGCCAAAGGAGGCAAGAAAATGAGGTCGGTTCCTTCTGTAAAAGCTTTCCTGGAAGTGCCACCCATGACTTCCCCCACATCCATCAGCCAGACCGGCTGGTACGAGACCGTCTGGGTCACGTGACTGATTTTTCCACACGTCTACCCGTTCCTCTGACCTACCAGTTTCATTTGGTATATCATGTGAAACTTTGTTCCCCAAGTAATTTTGTTTCAACGGTCCTACTGCATTTTAGGAGTATGGGTATAACTTAATATAAACGTTTGCTCCAGAAGCATTGTTACTGAGAGACACACATATATTATCAGGTTTGGGTATTATAATCTGACAGTCACTGTACTAGGAAACAGGTTTTGCCTGGATATTGTGGAGGTTTTTCCTTATATTCAATTCTACCTCGTCTCTGGAAACAGTTACACGGTAAATAAGCCCTTTAGTGTGCCTTACTTTAATGTAAACAGTCCTGTATTGTTGGACAGTTAGAATGTTCCCAGTTTTTCACAATTATAAGCAAAGCTGCATCGAACATCTCTGAACAAACACCCTTACCCACTTGTCCAATCACTTCTTTGAGAGGAATTAAATCTATGAAATGAAATTGTGGGACTGACGGTTCTGCAAATATAAAATTTTGACACTTACTGCCCCGTTGCCCCCCAAAAAGTTGTACCACTGCTTCTTCGTTGCTGGAGCAGTGAACACGCATCACAGGGGCACGCTGGCCCACCTCCATGGAGGGAGGATAGATGGCTCTGTGAGCCCAGCCTTTGGACTGGACGCAGGCTTCATAATTCAGGTGCCAATTACATTTGGAAATGAGATTAGCACATGGAATCTCCCCATTCATCTCAGAGCTCCAAGGCTCCTGGGCAGAATGAAACAATAAAACAAAACCAGTGAAATGAAGTAAGTGTGAACTCAGGGCATTTACCCTGATAAATGTGCCCATTGAGAGCGGATTTTTCAGGGCAGCTGGCGTTGCTCTGACTTGAATGAACATCAACACCACACTCAGCTCCCAGTTTTTCCCCATCAGGGACCCTCCCTAAACATATCTGTTGATTCTACCAGCCCCTTTCTTAAAAGTATGTCATGGTGCTCCATCCCAAGCATGTCCTTGAGAATGATGCCCAATGCCCTAATTGGACAAATACTGTTGTCCACTACGTAATAATAATTACAGCATCAACAATCCTATATAATAAAAGGCTAATATGCAAATCGACCCAACAGCGGAATGACTGGTCGCTATGAAGCGTACTGACCACCAGGGAGCAGATGCTCAATGCAGGAGCTGTTCCCTGGTGGTCAGTGAACCAGTTCAGCCAGAAGCCAAGTTCAAGGCTGGCGAGTGCAGTGGCAGTCAGACATCCCCTGAGGGTTCCTGGACGGTGAGAGGGTGCAGGTTGGGCTGAGAGACTGCCCCCTCCAATGCATGAATTTTGTGCACCAGGCCTCTAGTCAATAATATAAAAATTGTCATGTACATAATGTGGATTTTATTGTTTAATAGGTACAGAATTTCAGTTTGGGGTGGTGGGAAAGTTCTGAAAATGGATGGGGGCGATGGTCACACAACAATGTGAATGTACTTAATGTCTGAATTGAACACTTGGGAATGGTTAAAATCATCAATCTTATCTTATGTATATTTTACAATGATGAGAAACATGTTTTAAAAAAATCACTCACTTCTGGTTTCTAGTTCAACTTGGAAGTTGTCCCTCTGTTCTAACTAGTAAGAAGCTGAGTCAACTGAAAAATCAACAGCTCTTCTTAGATCTGTAAGAGTGAGGTCCTGTGGCAAATTACTGCCTCCAAAATGAGAGAGACTGAAGGTGGATATAGAGAATCACAAGTTACTGGAGCGGAAGCCTCCACCGGAACCAGAGCCTGGGGAGGAAAGCCTGAATTGCAGATGTTGAATTCCTGGGGGCTCTGTGTAAATAAGACTAAGAGATAAAAATCCTAGGGGGACGGGCACATGGGAAGTCCCACACTTTTGTGAGTTTTACCTCCAGGAGCTTAACCAGGTTCTCACAATAAATATTGGGATTTCATTGAATAAGGGGAGGGGGGGTGGGAACCACACCTTCCCATGCTTCTGTTAGCGGAGAGGAAATACAGTATACGTTGAAATACACCACAGCACTCTGTCCTTAACAAAGCCTGCTCTCTAAAGAAACTGTTCACCTAATGGGGCTTTACCAGAGTCCAGCTGACCTGGGGGAAGGAAGTACACACCCACCTCCAGCCCTGGACAGCCGCCCTGTCCCTCCAAAGGAGGGAAAAACTGAGAGGCCCTTGTGAAGTTCACAGCCCCAAGGTCACAGGATCACGGACAGACAGACTTAATCAGAGGACAGAACGCTTCCCCTCCCCACACATCTTACCACCGCATCACCACAGACCCATTTACCAGAGTTCCTTTTCTCTTTTTTCTTCTTTAATGTCAGAGAGAGAAAGGGCGAGGGGGAGAGAGAGAGATAGAAACATCAATGATGAGAATATTCAATAGGTTGCCCTCTGTATGCTCCCTACTGGGGATTAAGCCTGAAACCCAGGCATGGGCCCTGACTGGGAATCGAACCATGAACTCCTGGTTTATGGACTAATACTCAACCACTGAGCCACACTGGCCAGGCTGGAGTTTCTTTTATGCAGTATGGTTTTCAACAAAAAATTACAAGGCATACTAAAAGGCAAAAACATCTTGAAGAGACAGAGAAAATATCAGAACCAGACTCTGATATAGCAGGGATGTTGGAATTATCAGATTGAAAATTTAGAATAACTATGATTAATATGCTAAGAGCTCTGATGGAAAAAGTAAACAATATGCATAAACAGATCCTATATAATAAAGTGGTAATATGCAAATTGACCTTCTTGCCCTCACAAGATGGCTGCCTACCACCAGGTAGGCAGGGGGGTTAGTGAGGGATGACCAAATGATTGAACAAGCAGGCTGCATGGGGTGACCAGGCCAGTAGGGGTGGGAGGCGGTTAGGGGTGACCAGGCCAGCAGAGGGGCAGTAAGAGGTGAACAGGCCAGCTGGAATGGCAGGGGTGACTAGGCCGATGAGAGGGGGGGGGGGGCAATTAGGGGCAATCAGGCCGGCACTCAGAGGCAGTGAGGGACAATCAGGCTGGCATGGGGGGGGGGGGGGGCAGGCAGGGGTGACCAGGCAGGCAGGAAGGTGAACGATTAGGAGGCAGTGGTCCAGGATTGTGAGAGGGATGTCTGACCACTGGTTTAGGCCCGACCCTAGGGATTGGGCCTAAACTGGTGGTCAGACTTCCCCCCATTGCCTTCCTCCTCCTGCCTCCCCCCCCCCGCCCCACCTCCACTCTCCCCACCACCACCTCCAACCCCTGCAAGGTGTCTTAGATTGGAGAGGGTGTGGGCTGGGCTGAGGTGACCCTCCCCTACATGCATGAATTTCGGGCACTAGGCCTCTAGTAAGTAATATAAGCAGAAAGATGGAAATCCTAAAAAATATTTTTTAATGTTAGAGCTTACAACCCGTTAACAGAAATGAAGTGGTCTTTTCCTCCCAAGAAGACTCATAAAATGAGGAATTCTCCAAAGAAAGCAAAAGGGTTCAGATAATAATGTCTATTCCACTCAGCATGTAGATTAGATCTGAACTGACTTACACACCTTACACCCTTCTCCTGACAGATGATAGCATCTGGTGCTGAATCAAAGAGTCAGGGTGTTGCCTTGACCTTGATTCCCTTGACCAAGTTCAAGTTCATAGTATTCTGAAGAGTCTCGATCAGTAAGTTCAGCCCTCCTGGGTAACCTAAAAACAGAGCCAAACAGAGTTTTAGTAATTGTCCTGTGTTCCCCTTTTTCTTTTTTCAGACAGCTCGCTCTGCCTTCTGCTGAGCTTTGAAGTATAATTCAAAGGCCTACGATGATTTACTCCTAGTTACCTACCAGCCCAGCTCTCAGTCCCATTAACAAGCACTTTATCCCGAGACCGGGCAAGCAGGTGCTCCCAGAAATTATCACTGGGCTCTGCATCAGGCTGTGGGGAGAAGAGGGGCTTTTACAAACAGAGGCAGCAGGCACATCCCGCTGAAGGAGACGAGGGAGGTGTGCACAGATCTGGGGACGTACCAAGGAGTCACCCAACCCAGATGGAGGTGGCGGAGGGAGGTCAGGGTTTTTCTGGAAAACCTTCTCTTTCAGACGAGCTGGAAAATAGATTAGGAATGAGCTCTACCAGAAAGGAAAAGGAGCCCCAGTCAAAGCTGAGTGCTGGCCAGAATGGGATTGACGACCGATGGGTTTTACTGTAGTGCAACTGACTCCACGCGAAGCCCCCAATGTCATGACTGCAGGTCTTTTCTCTGGGGCTGTTGGGTTTCTTCATAAAATGAACCTCCAGTCCACTGCTGGGGGTGGGGAGAATGCTGCTTAAGGAGCCTACATGTAGATGTTCTGGATTCTGCTATGAGTAGCCTGGGGTGTCATCATTTGGGGTGCAGCTTTTTAGTGTCTAGTTCAGCCCCCACCCCACCCCCACCTCCCACCCCCCTGTGCTGGGACTGTGATTTCTAAATCTGGATGCTCTCTGGTTCAAATCCTCCAGAGATTAACCACTTGGTGTCCTCTGAGGAGAGACGTGCCACGACAAAGACCTCAGTCAACCCTCCTGTTTTGGAACCTGCTTTACCGCCACCTCCCAAAATGCCTGGCTCTGCCCATTCCTCAGCCTTCTGGGATCCTGGGGTGGCTTGGCTGTTCCTCAGTAAATGCAATATATGGGCCTCCTCGGTCAGCGTAGCTGGCCTCCTCCATGCTGCCAAATGGTTTGTCATTCCCAGTTCCTGTCTTCATTTCTTGTTTCAGGGTCAGAGATGTCCTCCTGGTTTCACCGAAGATGGAGAGGGCGTTGCACGTTCTCCTTATTGTTTGGTGTGGATTTAACAGGAAGAGGAGAAGATAGAAACAAAACCCAGCCATCCTTAAGTACACTTACTACCACTATGACATACACTTAAAAGTGGTTAAGAAGGTGAATGTCATGGGTTGTGTCTTTTACTTCAATTAAAAACAAAACAAAAAACCCAGCCATCTTAAAACCAGAGTCTTCCCAGTGGAGTTTTCTGTGAATTTTGAAACACAAACACAATAAGCCATTTTCTTGAGAACCTATTACACGTGGAAAGGGAATAACTTGACTTCCATATAGTCTACTGAGACAGCTATTGGAAATGGCTGGAGAAGTGAGTGGTTCTCGGTATGGTCTGTGGATAGACACATCAGCATCCCCCTAGAAACTTGTTAGAAACACAAATTCTGGATCTTAAACCAGACCCACTAAATCAAAAGTTCTGCAATCTGTACTTTAAAAAAGCCCTTCACAACTAAATATTGAGTATCTGCTTTGTGGTGGTTGATACATTAAGAATCACTCATCTAGAGCAGTATGGGGGGAAAGAATGAATTCAAATAAAGGCTGACCATCAAAGGATGGGTCTCACTTCGTAGCATGGAGAAAAGCTCAAGGAAACCCTGAAAGGGGAGAGAAGGTAATTCTTTGAATGCCTACCGTGTGTCAGGGACCCTGCCTTCCAGTTTGTATAATTTTCTTATTTAATCCTCAGTTTCCTCGAGAAGGAAGAATTATTTCCCCCATTTTACAGAGAAGAAAATGGAGGCTTTAAAAAGGTAAGTAATGTAGCTATTTAAGAAGAATTTCAACCAAGGTCTGCCTGAGTCCTAGGTCCTTCTCTTTATTTTCCACACTTCCCTCTTTCGAAATGAACCTCCTCACTGAGAATGTCACTGGCTATGGAAGACGGAGAAAAGTAAACAAGATTTCTCCTCTGCTTGGTAAAATTCTAA